TGCCGCGGGGCAAAAAGACCGAACCACGAATGACCCGTCCCCGCACTTCACCACCCCATGCACCTTATCCTTCCTGTCCCGATGCCATATTACTTATGCCCCCGGTCTACCATCTAACTTGCCGATAGCAGCGCAACCCAAGCGGCCCGATCACGCCTGTCGAACAAAAAACATACACAACTTCAAAATGTGTCTGATCAAAATGGACACTCGGTCGCCCATGCTGCCAGCGCCAGGTCCGCCATTCTTTCGGCCATGTGACACTCTGTCGCCCCTTGCACTTCCGCAAAGAATGCGCCACGAGGGGGGCGGACCGCACGTCCCGCGCGAAAGGCCGAACTGTCGCTACCGCCTCGGCGCTGCGCTTACCTTTCTGGGGGATCGAACTCCCATTGCGACGCGGTGCACCTTTTTCGCGCTCCTCTTCGTCGACGCGCGAACGGACGAACATGTCGGTCTCGCCTAGGAGTTGCGCAGATTCCGCCTGCCGTGCGCATTTGGGTCGGGACTGGCGTTCCACGGCGGGCGCGGAGCATGGCTCGTTCGCCGAAACGCGGGGGAGTGACAGCGGCGGGCCGCGCGAGAATCAGCGAAATGCCGACCTCGCCCAAGCGCCACGCAAGTTGAGTGAGCATGGCACTGCTGTGTCAACGCGGAACATGGTTTGCCTCCGCCGCGCCCATTGGAAGTGATGCCGTTCCCGCGTAAACGTGGCCCGCGACATTGCATCTTCCCCAATTCGTCGGGGGCGGGACAGCGCGCGAGCGCCGTCCATGTACGAGGTGGGAGCCCGCTCCACTCCAAAATATCATGTTGTACCAAACGTGAATGTTGTGTTCAGGGAGGGGGAGCGGAATTAGGCGGGGCACTCTGGCTCGCCCGACCTGGCTAACTTGACACCGCCCCCCACTCCTTGTCCCGCTTTTCCCCCCTTATGATCCTCAGCCTCCTCCTCCTCCTTCTCCTCGTCCTCCGTCGCTCTCATCCTCCGTTCAAGCGTTCATGAGAATCGGAGATCGGATCAATTCTGTCAGGCAAAGGGGCGGGGCAACCGGAGGAACACGCCACGCGCGCAGTGTCAAGAACACGTCGCAAACAAAACTGCGAACAACCAAAACGAAGCACAAGGCATCGACAGGAGGAGGGGAGAGAAGGAGTACGAGAAGGGGGAGGATAGGAACAAGAGGAGGAGGACAGTGGGGTGGGCAGAGCGTGCATGAGGGATTAGGGACGGGGGGAATGGCGATAGGAAGGATGGAGGCGGAGGAGAGTGAGGAACAAAAATGGGGGGAGGAGGAGGAGGAGAAAAGAGAAAGTAGGAAGAGGGCGATGTGGGAGACTAGTTCAGGATTGTAAATATGTGTGTTTGGGGGCGGGGGGAAGGGGGGGTGAGAGAGATAGGACAGGTTTTTCCTCAACCTACATTTTCTATCAATACCTCGTCGCCGTGTACAACCAATGCCGATCAAGCAAACCGTACGTACGGCACGACATGTTGTAGCACTCCATGACCGTTGAGCTTATACACAGCAAGCTACAGGTTCCATATAGTGCTCTCCCCTACCACGCATTCGTTGCCCTTATACGACCCTGCAGCATGACTACAAAAGGCATCCTGCCTCTTCCTCCTCCCACCTTGCGTTCTCCTCCCCAGCCCCCTTAATTTCCCACTCCAACCGCTGGACACGTCGAGCCCCAATCCCAAAACAGATTCCGGCATTCGATCAATCCGAAACCATCAGCCCCTTCCTCGCCGACTTCAAGTAACCTTTGAAAACTGCCAGCGCGCCAGGATGACCTCTCTTTCTCTCTCTCTCTCTCTCTCTCTCTCTCTCTCTCTCTCTCTTTCTCTCTCTGAAAGCCTCAAGAGAAGCCCGCCCAGGAGTGCTTCAACGACTGCCGATACACCAGCTGGTGACCTGGTTTCTCCTCCTCCTCGTCCTCTCCTTCCTCCCTCCCTTCCCCCTGCCTTCCCTCCTCCACATCCTCCTCTCTCCTCCTCGCTCGCAAGTAGCCCCAGTGACCCACTGAATCCTCCTTTTGTCGCGCCCTGGCCTCCTTTTTTCTGGGGCGTTGGGCAAACTGAAGCGACGAAGCTGACGGGTTCCACTGATGCAGAAGACCGACTCAGGCAGAGTGATGAATAAATTGAAACCGCACGACGTGCGGACCTCGCTCTCTCCAACTCCTCCTCCTCCTGCTCCTCCTCCTCCTTCTCCTCGTCCTCCTCCTCCTCCTCCTCCTCGTCCTCGTCCTCGTCCTCGTCGTCCTCTTTCTCCCCCTCCTCCTCTTCCTCCTCCTCCTCCTCCTCCTCCTCCTCCTCCTCTTCTTCCTCCTCCTCCTCCTCCTCCTCCTCCTCCTCCTCCTCCTCCTCCTCCTCCTCCTCCTCCTCCTCCTTCCTCCTCCTCCCTCCTCCTCCTCCTCCTCCTCCTCTCCTCCTCCTCCTCCTCCTCCTCCTCCTCCTCCTCCTCCTCCTCCTCCTCCTCCTCCTCCTCCTCCTCCTCCTCTCCTCCTCTCCTCCTCCTCCTCCTCCTCCTCCTCCTCCTCCTCCTCCTCCTCCTCCTCCTCCTCCTCTCGTTCCTCTCGCACCCTCGCTCCCTAGTCCCACCAGCCCTGTGGAAAAGCCTTTTTTTCCCTTTCGGGGACGGGTTTATCACTGTTCCACACTAGTAAGAAACACCGCCTCCACCAGGCGAGTGGTAGCCAACCAAGAACCATGAGAGCCCCCCCGCCCACCATCCCTGCTAAAAAACCATACAAACACACGTTTTGCCTCCAACTTCGGAACATGCGCAATCAACCCGATGCGGCCTCCCCCCGCCATCCCTGTCAAAATATCGAATACACTTGGCGGCGGCGGCGGTGGGCGGCTGCGGCGGCGGCAGCGGCGGCGGCGGCGGCGGCGGCGTCGGCGGCGGCGGTTGTGGCGGCGGCGGCGGTGGCGGCGGGCGGCGGGCTGGCGGCGGCGGCTGCGGGCAGCGGCTGCGGCGGGCGGCGATCTGGCAGCGGGGGCGGCGGCACCGGCGGCCGCGTGGCGGCGGGCGGGCGGCGCGGCGGCGGCGGCGGCGACGGCGGCGGCGGCGGCGCGGCGGCGGCGGCGGCGGGCGGCGGCGGCGGCGGCGGCGGAGGCGGCGGTGGCGGAGGCGGCGGCGGAGGCGGCGGCGGCGGCGGATTGGCCCCCAGTAGCTGCCCATCCAAAGACGACTGCTGAATATGCTGAGGCTCAGGCCAGACTCGGGTGCTACGTATGTGTTGGGGGGGTGAGCGAGACGGCTTGCGGGCGAGGACGGACTCTTGACCCCTTCCCTGGCCCCTCCCCTAGCGCGGCCGCGATCGGTTGGAGCGTCCAAGATCGGCCCCTGGGAGGACCAATGTTTGACACCCCTCGCGAGGATCGTGGCCCACGAGGGGGGGGGTCGATCGGGTGTCTCCTTCCTTTGGGTCGATCGTCTCGAAGATGGCCCCAAGAGAGCCCCAAGAGGGCCCCAAGAAGGTCCCAAGAGGGCCCCAAGAGGCACCCGAGAGGACCCCAAGAGGCGCCCGAGCGGTCTCAGAGAGCCCCAGATGTCCTCCAAGATGGCTCAGATAGCTCAGGTTGGCCCAAGATGGCTCCCAAGATGCTCACGATCCCAAGACCGCTCCAAGAGCGCCGAAGAGCGTTCCAAGAAAACCCCAAGAAGCGGTTTGCGGCTCCTGCGGGGGGGGGCCGAGTTGGGGACCCCCCATCCTGCAATCGATGTCTCCCAAGATGATCCCAAGAAGCATTCCAGGGTTACCAAGAGGCTTCTGAGAGGGCCCCCCCAAACTCCCAGAGAGCACTAGCCGCAGCAACCGCAAACATATGTTTATCCTTTATGCCAAGACCAGAGAAACTGGAATCAGATCAAGATGCTACCTAGAAGCATCGCCTGCCTAAAGACTGGGCCCGAGCGAAACTGTCACGATGAGACGTACACAGACGGCGAGGGCCCACAACCCAGTTGGAAGTGGGGGAGGAGAGGAGGCAGGAGGACCCTGAAAAACTTGAGCCGTGGGATTGCGGAACGGAAACATGCCCACGGCGACGCGCGTATGAGACGGCCCAGGCACCAGGAGTACCCCATCCTTCAAGCACTCCTTTATGCCAAGACCAGAGAAACTGGAATCATATCAAGATGCTACCTAGAAGCATCGCCCGCCTAAAGACTGGGCCCGAGCGAAACTGTCACGATGAGACGTACACAGACGGCGAGGGCCCACAACCCGTCCCCAGCACCAGAAGCTGTTCTAATGAGGGAGAGGAGGGAGGGAAGCGACGACAGAGGAGGAGATAGCCTTGCAGAGAGAAGTGGGACATGGCTCCGCCCGCCTGGTCCAGAAAATACCTGAGGCGTCTTTGCCTTCGAGGGCCTGGTTGCGGCGGCCAGTGCGTCGACACACTCTCCCCGCGCATCGGCGCCCCCGCGATTCCAGGCCCGGGAGAGTGCCAACAAAACGCGTGCGCTTTCTCCAGGGCGTCCCATGCATGCAATAATCTAGCACAACGGCGGACGCTTTCCTCTCAAGAATCTGTATCTCATCTAAAAGCCACAGGCGGGAGGTCCGAGGATTCTCTATGACCCATGGAACGTGACATTTGTTGCATTCACGAGCTAGACTACACGCGACACGCACTAACCTGTTGGCGCTCGACACTCGCGCACGCTGCTTCGCATCGAGGTTGGGCAAACCATGCAGGTAAGTGTTTGAGCGGAGAGGGCGCGGCCCGTTAGGCCGATCAGCGGCACGAGAGAAAGTGTTGCACGGCGCGCCGAACCACATGAAACAAAAAGAGCCAGCACGAATTTTGTCACGAATAAGCCTCGCGACGCCTGGCCGCAACAGATCAGCACCGGGGCCATCGGCGACGTCGTAGGCCTCAGCGGGGACTCCGCCCCGGGCGAGAGCGCGGGCGAGCTGCCCTGAGCCGGAGAAGATCTCGGCTGCAACTCGGCGCTTCAGGCACGGGGCGGCTTGGTCACCTGGGACGGCCGTCCAAGGAGCGCTCCCACGATGGAGGACTCGACAGCCGCGGCGAAGTCGAGCAGCTCCTTCGAGCTGCTGGCCAGCGCCTTCTGCATCACTCCGCGCCTCTCGTACCTTTTCACTGAAGAGAGGGTGGCCCACCTGCCGCGCTTCATGATGTCGGGAAGCGCGCGTCGCCCGAGGAGGGCGTCTCGGCTCGGGCCGCTGTGGCGGAGCTGGTAGCTCGTGAGGTTCCGCCTGTCGAGCCCGAGGTCGAGGCGCGCCTGATCGAAGTCCTTCCTGAAGGCAGCGGGCTTCGCGACGAACAGGGGCTCGTGCGGGGCCCGCTGGGCCTTCAAAAGCTCCAGTACCTCGCTGGTGGGAAAGTCCCAGTCCGACAGGGTGGCCGCGTCGTCCAGCACGCCCGTCTTGGTGGGGACCCCGGCGCTCGAGGAGCCGAGGATGAGCGCGCCGCGCTCGTGGCCGCGATGGTCTCCGACCGGTGGGGCGAAGTCCTCGGCCCGGAGCCGCGTCGCCTCGCCAGTGCGCAGGTACGCATCGTGCATCACCACCACCCGGCGGGCGCTCTCCAGCCTCCCGCGCCAGAGCATCGCCGCGATGATCGCGACTACCCACGCGCGCGGCAGCCCGAAGCGGCAGGCCACGGGAGCGGCCTTCCGAAACCCGGAGGGCGCGGGCCGCGCGCGGCAGGCCGCCCAGCCCTGCTCTGGAGAAGCGCGGGATGCCGAGCTTCACCGCCGCGAGCAGCTCCTCGCCCTGGTCGACCTGCCACCCATCCAAGTACAACAGGTCCATCAGCTGCACCAGCGCCTCGTCCACGTCCTCGCCCTTGTGGAGGTCGAACCCGTGGTCGACCACGAAGTCCAAGAACTCCCTGAACTTCTGGAGATAGTAGGGGATCGACTGCTTGCCAACGGACTTCATCTCGAGGAGGCTCACCATGATCCCCTTCAGCTCGAGCTCCTCCTGCATCTCGCGGCCCCCCGCCTCGACGGCCGCTCGGCGGGCCCTCGCCCGCGCCCGCCGCGCTAGGATCTGAAGCTTGCGGCTCCGATCGGCGTTGGCGGGCAGCGTCCGCGCTGAGGCGGCCCCCGCCAGGCGGCGGTGCGTCGGAGGCGGCAACCCCCGGCTGCCTTCGCGGGGGACGGAGCACGCCTGGCGATGCGGCGCCTGCAGCACCCGTGAGACCCGCGGCTCCTTGACTGGGCGGCTGCCGGCGGGCCCCTGTGGGAGACCAGCAGATGCCTCGCCGCGGGGCCGCTTGGCCTGTGTAGGCGGCAGCAGCCGGCTCATCGCCCGCGCGAGCTGCCGCGGGTGGCCCCAAGCCCGAGCCTCGAAGAAGCTTGAGGCGGGCCAGGCCTCGCTCGCGGCTGCGGTGATCCTCAGTGAGATAACGACGAGAGGCGGCATCAGCAACATTGATCTCTGAAGGAATCCAACGCCATCGAATCGTCATGTCCATTGCAACCGTGAACGCGGCATTTTTCCTGCAAAGCATCAGCAAGCCGAAGTTGTCCGCACGTCCCTTGGCAAAGGCAAGGATCATGCCCAGATTGTCACCTATCTTGAGATGCCGCTTGCCTCGATTGGACAGCGACCGGCAGGTGCGCCGCGCAGATATCAACCCCGTGCGCCCCTCAAGCATAGTGATATGCTCCTCGTCTCTCCAGCGGCCGGCCACGCACTCGCGCCAGTCAAAATCCTGGAAGATGGACGCCGGGACCTCAGGGAAGTCCTGCGCGGGCTGCCAGCGTCGCCGAGACCAGTCGCGAGGGAGGACGGACTCAACGTTGCTGAAAGACTCCTCGACGAGAGGGGCCGAACGGAGGGCGTGCTCGCGAGGCCCGCCAGGTTGCTCGCACTGGAAAGCGCAACGCCACCTCTCATCGACCTTCCCGATCTCAGAGACCACCTCCTCGGGCAGGGCCGCCGTCATGATCCCGCAGCCGGCAGGGCTGGCGTCGAACACCTCCACCTCAGAAGCCCAGGGCCGCCGCATGTTGGCCCGTGCGAAGGGCAACAGAGCAGCGGCAGCACGGAGCTCCTCGGCGGCGGTCCGCCAGAGCCGTCGCGGTCGGAGGTAGTGGCACTGCACGAAGGTGTAACAACTGCGGAAGACAGAGGGTAGCGGCCGATGTCCCAGAAACTGGAAAGTAGCATGTCCCAAGAGCCGCTCCAGCTGCCGACCGCTAAGCCAGGGTCGCTGGCGGCTCACGCGACTGGCGGAGACGCCGCGCCTTGACAGGGCTGAGGCGATGCTCCCCAGTGAGTCCGTCGATGGCGAACCCCAAAGACTCGGCCCAGTGGCGGGCAGCCTCCTCCTCGTGGACCTCGAAACCGATCGAGGTCATCCGGCGCTTGCAATCTTCTCGGAGAGCGTCGGCCTGAGCGAGAGACGAGGCAGCCGCAACGAAGTTGTCGCAGTAGGGCAGGGCCAGCTCGGTCCCCGCCCTGAAAGGAGGCGGAGGGACGCGATCCTGCATGACCGCGCCGGGCGACCAGGGCCTGATCTGGTGGACCTGGTGAGCGTGCAAGACTTGCGCGAAGAAGAAACTCCGAGTCCACCCCATCGGCATCACCTTCATAGCGGGGGCGACCGCCGTGGGGCCCCACAAGGATCCAAAGGCGGGGCCTCCCTGGGTGACCACCTTCAGCTCCTCCCCAGTGTTGTCGGGGAGGCAAAAGAAGCTCTCGAGGCCCGGCGGCAGCCCGCAGGCGTAAAAGTAGTCCTTCACGTCACTAAGCGAGAGATACATGTCGGTGTCCGTGTCCATCACGACGTCGGCCCAGGACGATCCCGAACCCATCGGCACGCGGGGGCGCTCTCGGAAGCGGGCGTTGACGCGCCTGCAGTCGACGACGAGGCGCTGCTTGCCCGACTTCTTACGTGCAAAAAAAGACAGAGATCCCACCTCGAACTTGGTCGGCCCGTCGCCAGGCGAGAAGCCCACCTCTGAACAGGTCCCCGATGAAGTTGAGATAACTGCGGCGGCTGAAGCGGAGCCGCGGGTCCATGTAAGAACCGATGTGCTCGAGACCACGCTCCACCTCCGCTCCCCACTGGTTGTCGTCCTTGAGCAGGTGGGTGTCAAAATCTACGATCATCTTTGCGGCGCCCGGCGGCAACACCTCGGCAAGGGGCACGGGAACTCGCCCGTCACCGTGGATAGACACCAGGGCACGGTCGTAGGGAACCACTGCCAAATCATCGTCCCCGCCATAAGGGACTCTGCTGCCGAGAAGCGCACGCGTGGCTTCCTCGTCTGAGACCGCCTGAGGCGGCGGCCGAAAAGAATTGATGGCCTCGTACAGGTGGTCAACGGTGGCCCGCTGTCCAAGAGAAGAAAACTTGGTATTGGCGGTGGAAGAACCCACGAGCCAGTTGAGGGCCCAAATGCTCTCATTCACCTCGTCCGTGAGCCGACGTCGCCCCTGGACTCGCTGCCGAACTCCTCGGGAGAGGTGGGAACCAGCGATCGGCCCCTGAAGCGCATGCGGTAGAGGAAGAAGCTCCCGCGGGACGTCGCGCTCCTCAGCGACGACTCCAGCGAGAAAGCCCAGCCGCGTGGCCGGGAGCGCCCTAGATCTGGGCCCCACCCTCGGGCCGCGGGAGGGGCCATCGCCGTTCATCATGAATGATCGCCGCCCTGGCCCTCCTTCTTGGGGCCTTTGGGCGGCTTCCTCAAACGAAGCTCCTCATTGTGCTTGCGCAACTCCTTATATACCGACGCCTTGTCACGAGCCTTCTCAGCCGCGTGCCTGACCAAAGTTGGGGCCACCAGAGCCCTGCCACGGCCCGGCCCCCAGCCCATGAAGTCGTCGGCCCCGGTGTAGTCGGGGCTGCCAGGAGAAGTGAGGTGCGCCTGCTCGATCAGCATGGCACGCCTCCCGAGCGCCTCCAGGGAGACCAGCGTGGGGATGTTGAGCTGGTCGACCTCGGCCGCCAGCTCGAGAACCTTCATGATGCAAAAGTGCTCGTGCACCGAGCGGTCGCCACTCGAGTTCAGCTGGTGGGCCCAGTTGTAATGACGCTGGACGGGACCGCCCTCTCCACTTCGAGCGATCTCCTCCAGGTACCAGAGAATTGAAGCCTCCCCCTCGAGAGGGGAGTCGCCGTAGTCGTGATGCTGTATCAGGTCGACGGCCTCCACAAAGCGACGACGGCGGGCGTTGTTCCGCCACACCACTGGGAGGGTCCGTGTGTCGGCGTCCTCGTCGATCGAGTCGGCGGCGGCGGAATAGCACTGCAGGACCCCCCAGGAGTCACCACCATCATGGCGTCAGCATCGCCCTTCTTCACGAGAGTGAACTGATGGCCCTCGACCGCCGACGGATACTCGGCGCCACGACTGAAAGACTGATCTGATGAAAAGGCTATCCGCCAGATCTTCCCTCTCGCAGCGGGAGGAGGCGACTTGGACACGAGAGCATCCCCATGGCCTCCTTCCTTGCGCTCCTCCTCGTCGGCCACCGCCTTGGCACGGAGAAAGAGAGGCACATCGAGGGGGCCTTCCCGCCGACCAGCTCCGAAACCATATCGTGACACCGGGTCGGGGCCTCGCCCAAACATCGTTCCAGTCACCTCTCCTCCGGCGTCAAGCAGCCGAAGGGCCTGTAGGTCCCCGGGCACGGAGAGATCCTGCGGGTACACGTCGCCGTCCACTGTCAGAATCCACCAGAGCCAACTGTTCACCGGAGGGTCCTCGCCGTGGATCCTCCGGTAGCACGTCTCGGAGCTCTTGCGGAGGATACTGGCCTCGTGCCAGAGTTTCGGCTCGTCCCCGTACAGGAGAAGCACCTTTTGCCCGACGTGCAGACCAGGCTTCGCGACACCAGCGACAGCCATTGAGAACAAAGACGAGAGAAAACCAGATAAGACCTGCCACCGCGTGCGCATAGAAAGCCAGGCTCCCCAGGATAGCCGTCACCAACTCGACGTGCCAGGGCACGCCCGATCGCAGCGCCTCTGCGCGCCCAGCGGCCAGCCGCTCGCGCTCACGCCGCTGCTCGTGGAGCTCCGCCAAGACCTCGCTGAGGTCGGGGCAGATCGCAGGGCAGCTGCTGTTCCAGCGCGGCGCCGGAGCAGGGGCGGCGCAGCTTGCCGCCAGGGGCGCGTCACTCGGCGCGCCAAGCCAGACACGGAGGGGCGATGGGGCCAACCATGGACCCGAATGGACCCGTCCGAGTCCCTGCGGAGGCATTTCACCCTGAAGAACTTGAGCCGTGGGATTGCGGAACGGAAAACAGGCCCACGGCGACACACGTATGAGACGGCCCAAGCACCAGGAGTACCCCATCCTTCGAGCACGATGGTTCCATGAATCCTCGTCCGCTTCGTCCTCACCCTAGTCCCCGTCCTCCTCCTCCTCCTCCTCCTCCTCCTCCTCCTCCTTTTCCCCTCGCCCCCACGCGGCATCCAGGGATAGCCCGAAGGGGCCTTCCAAAGTCAGCCCCTTGCTCGCTTTGTTTCCCTAGATGTGTCTCTTTGTCCTTTTCCCGTTAGCTCTGAAGGGCAGGGTTTCTGAATGGGCTGGTGGGGATATGTTTGTTGGTCGCGTGCGCAAGCGGTACAGCCGCGCGCCGTCAGAACGAAGCAACAATGCAACGGCCTAAATTACACACCGGAGCCACAGGAGCGGGCTACGCTGCGGCTCAGGAAATGCGGCCGGTGGGGATACCCGAAGCGTGAAGAATTCCTTCGACCCTCCGACTCCACCTCCTTCTCTCCCTCGCACCGTCGCCTCTCTGTCAGTCCTCGGCCGCCTCCCCCCTTCGCGTCTGCGCGGAGGCGCCCGCGACGGTGCTGTTGAGCACGAGGCCAGGGAAGACAACGCATGCCGGCATGAAGGTGCGCGCCGCGAGCCTCGCGCGCGCAAGCGGCGCTGGCGTCGATGACGAGGCAGCGTCGACGTCGCCTCGAGGTCGACGGCGTCGACGTCGACGTCGACGTCAACGACGCCGAAGGTATCGCGACGACGTCGAGGAAGAGGTTCGCCCTCGTCGTGCGCGCAGGGCGCGGGACCTCGAGAAAAGGCGCCAGGAGAACGTTCCGAGTGGCGAGATCCACGTTGGCTCGACGTCGCCGACGTCGACAACGTCGACGATTTCGAGGCAATGGCGCCTACGTCGTTCGGAGGGACGTCGACGACGTCGGTCGGAAGGCATCTGGGCACTTTTCCGGAGGTTCTGCGTCTCTGCGAGGTCGTGGAATGCTTGCCGGGACGGGCACCGCGGGTCCAACGACGGGTCTCGAGCGGATGGATGTTAACGGGAGGAGAGAAGAGGAGGATTTTGGGGGAGGGAATAGGGTGAGTAAGTGGGGGAGGTGCAGGTGGAGGAGGGGTGGAGAAGGAGGGGGGAGGAGAAGAAGGAAGGATGAGGAAGGGGATTACTCGAATGCTTTCCTGATACACTCGGAGGCTCGATGATGCCTGGAGGTATGAGGACGATTTCGGGTATGTTCAGATTGCTTACACAGGCTTTTGCTAATGAGGGCGGGGGGGCCTTCTTCCTCCCATGCGTCGTCATTACCACCGCCCTCGTTGTCCTCCACGTGCCCGTCGCATTCCCCCTACGTAGACTTGATATTCAACGCTTCCCCCAAATCCTCACACCTCGGCCTCCACATCCTTCTCCTCATCCTCCTCATCCTGTTCCTCGCCCTCCGCATCCCGCCTTCTCGGATTCCGTTCCGCCTATCCTATAATACCATCCCTTCCTCGTCCACGGACCCTTGCTCCTCATCACGACCCCCGAACGTGGGGCCAGCAGCAACAGCTACGAGAGCAGCAAGAAGCCTGCTTCTGCTCCCTCCATTACGACCGCAACTACCACGACCACCATTACTACAACTACAGCTTCACATTAAACTGCTACCGCCGCTACTACCACCACTACCGTAGATGGAACAAATTAACGCGAAACCAATGCAAAACGCTGAACTCCACGACGACCTCAGGCTGAACAAACTGAATTCGCGGTTCGCGCAAATAGTTGATACTTTCAGCGACAACCGCGGATCGCGCCGAGATTTGAAATCGTGGGCTTTGAACGGCGACGTGTCAACGTTACGAGACATTTCCGCGTTGATAATTCCATCCCTGGCCTCCCGGCAACATTGGATGGGGGGCTGCGAGGGCGTCGGGGACGTTGGGCTCATCAGCAGGGTCGCGCCGGGCGCGTCGAGACGAACCTGAGCTGTCCCGAGCTGGGTTGCGCCAGACTGTGCCAGACTGGGGCGGGCCGCAACGGCTAGAGCCGGACTGAACTGGAAGACGCGACGCTGGAATTACACTGGGACATCTGATGACTCTGACTCAGGGGTGCATCGCTCCGTGTCGGGAAGCGTACTTGATCGCCAGATCTAACAATCTGGGAAGATGCCTTGAAACTGTCTATCGCTATCTCCTTTGTAGCGTCACGACTTTTCAACATGAGTTTGGCGAGGACGAAACGAAAATGAAATCGCCAGGCATGGCGTTCTGGGAAGATGACTCGTACATTGGGACAACAGTTACACATTTTGTGGAGCTGCGATGAGGTGTGTCGTGGCCTAGCTAAGACGACGACGAAACTATGTTGAACGTCGCACAATGCGATCCAGTTGCAACGTTCCAACGTTACGAATGACATTATGGAACTACCACGCAGGACTTTCTTACAACAGCGATGCCGATCATAACGGTGGACGCCGTAGCATGATAATATTCATATGTATTCAAAAATACTCAATGCTATGATCGGCGCCGTATTTGTTGCATGGATCTCCTGACCGAGCCGGCCCATATGTCATTCGTAACGTTGGAAAATTGCAACCTTATCGCAAATCGTTGTTGCCAACATCGCTTCGCCGAAGCCAAGCTAGGACGCAACAGATCACAACGCCACGAATTATTCAACCGTTTTTGCTCACATGTATGAAACATTTTCCCATAGCGACATCCCCGACGATATATTCGTCGCTTAGGCATTGCCACGCTAGGGTGGGCAAGTATTAACTCCAGGATGGATGTACTGGCTGATCCAACGTGTGATGAACATTCCAGGAACGTTATGCCTGGCGACAAGGTTAGCTCCTCGAATCGTTCTCGGTCGGTCCAAATGTCATTCGTGGAAATCTGAAGAACTGCGCCGGCACATGATGCGGGCCCGACGCTGTCAGGGGGCCTTTTACAACATCGCAGCTCCGGATGGAAGACATGAGCGCGACACCAACTCATGAAATTTCGCCGTTCAAAACGACTGAGCGCGGTCCGGCCACGACGACCTCAGGCTGAAACAAACTGCACTTGCTGTTCGCATTTATGTTTTCTCCTTCTCTGCAACAAACGCCGATCGTGCCCAGCTTGAAACTCGCGGGCTTTGACTGGTACGCTGCCACAGATAAAATTAAGTTTTCGCGCTAGTTGTGTAAGCCCGCGGCAATCGATTTTATACCACGAATGCTGCTACGAGTGATCCTCAGAACCAACATGTTACAACTAGTATTACTGCCGAACTACATGCACATCTCACCCCCCCATATTGCAAAATTCGCAGCAGGAGTCGGACAGGCCGAACATCCTGCGCGAACGGCCCAAGTGTCGTTCTCGCCACGGCGCCGCGTTTCTACAGAATTGGGTTCCCGCCCGGGCGCGGCGTACATTTTTCGCTCGCCACTTCGTCGACGCGCGAGCGGGCGAAAATGTCGCTCTCGCCTCGGCGCCGCGCGAGTTTTGCCTGAAAGTGGCGTTCAAGCCACGCGGCGGCGAAGATTTGTCACTCGCTAGCGGTTTGGGGCCAGCGCGAGTGGGCGCCTTCTCGCCCTTCGCTTGCAGGCGGCAGCGGCAAAGGGGCCGTTTGAGAGCAGGCGAAATGCCGTCCTCGACTCAGCGCCGCGCACCTTGTCAGTGAGTGTGGCAGTGCTGTGTCAGCGAGGCACATGCTTCGTCCTCCTTACCTTTCCCTTAGGCAAAGCGCCGGAAGCCGGGCAGCGCGCGAGCGCCTTCCGTTTTTGCAAGGTGGGCCGTGTTCCGCACGCTAGATCAACTGATGCAAGTAGCGATGTTTACATTGTGGCGGGGAGGATTGGAATCAGGGGGGCCGTATGACTCGCCCGTCCTGGCTAACTTGACTTCTCTTCCTACTTCAATTTCTGCTCTATACTGCGAATTAGAAGACTACTGTCACGACTACGACTGCGGCTACTATACCCTACCTGCCGTAATTTGAAGGAGTTTCTGTGGAACTCACGTCATCCTCACACCCGGCGCGAAGAGCACGAGCCCAGAGCGGCCTCCGGCACCGTTTCCGGACGGATCCGCTGGATCCGCTGGATCCGGTGACGAATCCCAAACCGGCGCCCTCGCCTGAGACATCCTCACAAAACGGGCCCCGGGGGGGATGCCCAGAGGAGCCCAGAGCGGCCTCCGGCACCGTTTCCGGACGGATCCGCTGGATCCGCTGGATCCGGTGACGAATCCCAAACCGGCGCCCTCGCCTGAGACATCCTCACAAAACGGGCCCCGGGGGGGATGCCCAGAGGAGCCCAGAGCGGCCTCCGGCACCGTTTCCGGACGGATCCGCTGGATCCGCTGGATCCGGTGACGAATCCCAAACCGGCGCCCTCGCCTGAGACATCCTCACAAAACGGGCCCCGGGGGGGATGCCCAGAGGAGCCCAGAGCGGCCTCCGGCACCGTTTCCGGACGGATCCGCTGGATCCGCTGGATCCGGTGACGAATCCCAAACCGGCGCCCTCGCCTGAGACATCCTCACAAAACGGGCCCCGGGGGGGATGCCCAGAGGAGCCCAGAGCGGCCTCCGGCACCGTTTCCGGACGGATCCGCTGGATCCGCTGGATCCGCTGGATCCGGTGACGAATCCCAAACCGGCGCCCTCGCCTGAGACATCCTCACAAAACGGGCCCCGGGGGGGATGCCCAGAGGAGCCCAGAGCGGCCTCCGGCACCGTTTCCGGACGGATCCGCTGGATCCGCTGGATCCGGGATGACGAATCCCAAACCGGCGCCCTCGCCTGAGACATCCTCACAAAACGGGCCCCGGGGGGGATGCCCAGAGGAGCCCAGAGCGGCCTCCGGCACCGTTTCCGGACGGACGACCTGACTGCATAACACGCCTGGATATGCCGACGGGGGCGAAGGAGGAGGAGGAGGAGGAGGAGGAGGAGGAGGAGGAGGAGGAGGAGGAGGAGGAGGAGGAGGAGGAGGGGGAGGGGGCAGGCGAGGGAGCCCCGGCCCTGGGGGAGGGGCCCTGAGGGAGCCCTGATGGGCTTCCGGCACCATGGAGAGGTCCTGTGGGGCGGCCGCCCCTTCTTCTCTCGGTCGTTTCCCTCTCGCCCAGAAGCGCGCGCCCCTTCTTCTATATATACAGAAACTCCCGATCAACCGCAGAGCGGCGGATGTTAATTATCGGTAACGCACGAACTGCTATTTGGTAGTGCCACCGCGCAGCTTGCGCTCGTAACCATCTACATCACCTACTGCTGCGCCACTGCAACAACTGCTACGACTGCGGTCCACGAAGACAAGAGCTCCACTCCCGCCGCGACGACGCACACCCTTGGCCGAAGCTCGGCCCAACTCTCGCGCTCGCTACGCCATCCTCCCCGCTGCCGCAACTGCCCTCATCCTCCTCCTCCTCCTGCTCCCGCTCCCTCCCCCTCTCCCTCCCCCCCCCATCCTCCTCTTGCTTAGTTTTGCCCTCGGACGCCGAGGATCGTGGATGGAGGTTTCCGGACGGTTCTGGAGAACTACCCCAAAGCAGTGATTGCACTGGGGGTGTCACCTGTCTGCCAAACCACTTGGATGGGTCTGACGGGGACTCGCCTGGTGCCCGGTTTGTGGCCGCCCGTGGCCGCCTCCTGGCCGCACGGGGCGCTGGACGTGTCTGCAAGGGTTTCGCCTGGGCCCGTGTGCCGGGTGGCCCTGCCGGCGTGTCACCCGGTGCCCGCACATGCCCGCCCGTGGCCGTCCGTGGCCGCCTCGTGGCCGCCCCGCACAGCTTGCAACTCAGACCCTGCACCACACAGATTGCATCGCACGCCTTGCATCGCACAGAGCTTTCTAAGCACCACATGCCCTGAACCACAGACATTCGCACCACACCGACGCCATCACCACATGGATTTCACCTCATAGCTTGAACCATACGCACGAAGTGCGTCAGAACCCACACTGCACATATTGCCCATCGTGCGTGCACTAGCCTGCCGCTCGGGGCTCACGCTGGCTCAGATTCGATTCGCACATTGTCCACTCAAATAACAGATGGGTTCCTCCTCCTCCTCCCCCTCCTCCTCCTCCTCCTCCTCCTCCTCCTCATGGGCGCAGCTCTGCTGACCGGCTGACCCAGTCCACCCGTACACCTTCGGCGGGTGGTCCACGAAACCACTTCCACCACCGCCCGAGGCAGGCACCCGACCGAACTCTCCGGGTTGCTGGTCGGCTGGCCGAGGGCACGTCGAGCCGAAATCCCCGGCGGGATTTCCAAGGCCGGCTGGCCAGGGGCAGGTCGGGCCATCCTCCTCCTGGGCAGGACGCCCACTTCTCACCTCGGACGCACAAGCCGCGTGCTGGCATGAATTCAACCCTGTGAGCGCCCGCGGCACTCCGCCGAGACGCGGCGCACCTCCGAGCGGCCCGAAACTGGACTGCAGGTCGCGGCACCGCTCGCGCAGCCCCGCCACCACCTCCGGGCCACCCGTGCTGCCCTCGAGAAGGCCGAGCGCCTCAGTGGCCCTCTGGAGCTCCACGCGAAATGCCCAGTTTGCTCACGAGAGTGCGTTTCCCCGAAGAGCTGCGAGGCCACGCTCGGGCCTCCTCATGGGGTGTGGAGCAGGGGTGTTCCACAGGAGCGTCCGGGAAGAACTTCGTGGAACCTCTTGGGCACATTGCCCAATTGGTGCGGCTGCCTGCGCGGAGTTCAACTTAGTGCCGCTATGCTGCCGCCGAGACACTTGTAATTCGATAACTTCTCCACAGGATGCTCTCAGGCGTGGCCCTTCGATGTGTTTTTCGTGTTCCTCCACCCCGTGCCTCTCGTCGTCATCGCCGCCGTCTCGTTGATCCCTGTTCTTCGCGCGACGATTCGCGTGCTCAGCAGTTTACCACTCGATCCTACGACGCCGACGCCGACGCCGACGCCGACGCCGACGCCGCAGTCGACGACGACGACGATGACGACGACGATGACCGGCACAAATCCAGAAAAAAGGAGCCCGGGCTGACCACCAGCCCCGAAAAGGGAGGGAGGGGGGGGGGGCCTCGGGTACACACCCCACCCTTGAACCCCCTTGCTTCGGAAAGGGCGGGGGGGCGGGGGGGGCCCTTCCTGCTGCCCCCCTCGCTCCCGAGGCAGAGGCCAGGCCTGGCCCAGAGCTCGTCCGCGCGCTCCACCCCGCGGAGGGCGAGGCCCTGCGACGCCAGGTCGGCCTCCAGGTTGTCGTTGTCCGCGCCTGCTCGCGCGTCAAGAGGAGCGGCGCGCTGGAGGAGTCAGGGTCGAGGGGGGGGGAGGAAGCGAGGAGCGATCAGCGAGGAGCAAGGAGCGAGCAGGGAAGCAACGCTTGAAAAGAGGAGAGCGAGAGAGAGAGAGAGAGAAAGAAAGAAAGAAAGAAGGAGAGGGAGGGAGAGAGAAAGGGAGAGAAAGAGAGAAAGAGAGAGAGAGAGAGAAAAGGAGAGAGATAAAGAGATAGAGGCGAGAAGGCATGAGGGAGAGCCGAATGAGGGGGGGCAGACGCGAGTAGCCAAGAGGAAGAAACAAGGGACCAGAAGAGAGGCGGGAGCAGCGAGGAGTGAGAAGAGAGGAGCCGGGAGCGTGAAGAGAGAGAGAGGCGAGGAGCGACGAGAGAGCGGCGAAGAGCGAGGAGCGTGGAGCAAGTGTGGGAAGGGAGGCATGAGAAGAGGCCAGCACACGAATGTCGAAGGCTTGTTTGTTTTTCTGCTGAGCCTGCGGGCCCTAAACCTCGCCATCCCTGGAGGGAAGCGACGTGCGAAACTGACGCCACTTTCGAGGGCCTGTGGGGGGGCAGCAGAGTGAGTGCCGACGGCATATTGAAATCAGACCTCGACACCCTGGGGGGCTGCGAACTGCGAAACTGTCGCCACTTTCGCAGGGTCAGCATAGTGGGTGCCGACGGGAAATCCAAAGTAGACCTCGACATCCTTGGGGCGCCGCAAAGTGTGAAATTGTCGCAACTTTTTATGAGGGCTGCTGGGGGGGGACATTGTGGGTGCCTACGGCAGAATCAAGTTTGACCTCGACCTCCCTGGGGGCTGAAAAGTGTTAAACTGTCCCCACTTTCGAAGCTTGCTGGGGGGCCAGCATAGTGGATGCCGACGGCAGATTCTAATAAAACTTCGGCATCCCTGGGGGGGTGGCTGCGAAGCGCGAGGCTGTCGCCACTTTCGAAGGCTGCTGGGGGGGCAGAATGGTCGGTGCCAGCAGCAGATTCAAACCAGACCTCGACATCCCTGGGGGGGGCATGAGACATGTGAAGCTGTCGCAACTTTCGGTTGCTGCTGGGGGGGGCAGCATGGTGGGTGCCGACTGCAAATTCAAATCAGACCTCGTCAATCCTGGGGGTCCGGCGAAGTGTGAATATGTCGCCACATTCGAGGGATGCTTGGGGGGGCAGCATAGTGGGTGCCGACGGCAGATTCAAACCAGACCTCGACATCCCTGGGGTGGGGCTGCGGAGGGTGAACGTGTCGCCACTTTCGAGGGCTGCTGGGGGGGGGCAACATTGTGGGTCCCGACGTCAAATTTAAACTAGACCTCGACATCCCTTCGGGGCTGCGATCTGCGATATTGTCACCACTTTCAGGGCTGCTGGGGGGGTCAGCAAAGTGGGTACCGACGGCAGATTCAAATCATACCTCGACATCCTGGGGGGGGTCTGCGAAGTGCGAGACTGTCGCAATGTTCGAAGGTTGCGGGAGGGGGGAGGGGCATCATGGTGGGTGCCGATGGCGGATTCAAATTTGACCTCGACGCTCCTTGGGGGGGCGCCCTTCTCAGTGCAATGCCTCCTGGCCTTTTGCACCTCTGATCTGCGAATGTGCCACGCACACTTCGCACGACATATAGATATCCCCCGTGCAACCGTCTCTTGAAGTGTTCCTGTCGTGCTAGGGTTTGTTTGTCCGACGCCCCCTCCCGCGCAAGAGGTGACCCAGAAAGTTTGGGGTGGGGTTCTCATCATCTGGTGTTTCTAAGAACCGATCGGGGCCGCTCGGAGGGAGAGCCGTCGGAGGCTTTCCAGGAGCCCGCAGGGTAAACTCATTCAGTGAGTTGGGGTCTTCTACGAAAGCATCAAAGCCGTTTCGAGGGAGCTGCTGGAGGCTTCCTGGGAGCCTCTGGGGGTCTGGGAGCCTTTGGGGGGCTTCTTGGGGGCTTGCTAGGGCTTCTTGGGGGCTTCGTGGGGGCTTCTTGGGGGCTTCTTGGGGGCCTTTTTTCTGGGAGCCTTTGGGGGCTTCTTGGGAGCCTTTGGGGGGCTTTTTGGGGGGGCGGGACGGAAGGGGCGCGAGGCGCTCCAGAGTTGGCCCTGCTGGGCTTCCCTAGGGGCCGTCATTGGGAAGCGGCCGGCTTGAGGGTCTCCGGGGCCGTCGTCGGGCTCTGTTGGGAGCTCCCTGGGCGCCCTCAGGAGGAATTGGGGAGCTTCTCGGAGCGGGCTGGGCGCCTTGCGGCCGGGGAAGCGATCGCAAGAGGAAGCGCGGAAAAAGCATCAAGAACAACCATAGGTGTCCGTCCATATGGGAGCCCTCTTGCGCGGCAGAGTAGCGCGCTGGCGGTCTTACGGGCCACTCGCGGGGCTCTCTCGGGGCAGGTGGCCGCGGAGTCGCCGCCAACGCGGGCCCGGCGGGCGCAATTGATGGCCCCTCTGGCACGCGCTCGGCCCGGATGAATCACGTTTGTCTTCAGCATCTCGCTCAGCAGCGCCAGCGCCCTCTGCTACTGTTCGCCCTGCTCGCACGCGCTAATCCCAGCATTGTAGCTGAAAAGGGGTCGCACCGCGGCCTTCTGGCCGCGGAATCTGCCCGCCATGGCGTAGAGCGTGGACGTAGAAATGGAGCGTCTCTGGGGCTTCGCGGGGGGGGGAGATCGGAGGGGACGGCGTGGATGGAGGAGGTGGCAGCTGGATGGGGAGGTGGACGAGGGATGCGGGCAAGCAGGCCTGAAGACAGCAACGCGGTGTGGGAGGCGGTGTCAGTGGAAGCGCACCCACGTAGGCACGACATGGTGTGGACAGAAGCTGTGTCTCCCCAAGACGACGCTGGAAGTTCGACGCTCCCCAAGCGAGAAGCATCCAAGGCCTATTGGGGGCTGTTTGGGGGCCTCATTTCGTCCTGCAGGGGGTCTCTCGGGGCCCTCTTGGGCCGTCTTGAGTGACTCTTGGGCCGTCTTGGAGCGTTGTGGGGCCGTCTTGGGCGCTTCTCGGGCCCGGATGGATGACGTTGGGCTTCAGCTTCGCCTTCAACATCTCGCTCAGCAGCGCCAGCGCCCGCTGCCACTGCTCGCCCTGCTCGCAGGCGCTGATCCCAGCGCTGTAGCTGACCAATGTGAACCCGGGGATTCAATCCACGGTGTGCTGAACCTGGGGGCTCCCACACCGTGGGCGAACAGCTTGTCGAAGATGAACAGCTCGGGCGGCCCTGGGGCCGTGTCGGGGGCATGTTGGGCCCTCCTGCGGGCCTGTCTGGGGCGTCTTGAAGGCCTCTTGCGGATTTTGGGCGCCTCTGGTGCCGGTGCCGGGCTGACCCCGAGAGTCTCTTCTGGGGGACATCCCGGGAGACTTCGTGTGAACCTGTCGTGCGTGCATGCTGCGAGGTTGCTGTCAGAAGGTCCCCCCTGTCACCCCTGAGGTTAGCTGCAGGGTTTGCGGCAGGCTCCGGGAGTCGGGGCTGGAGGCTGTCTTGGGGGTGTCTGCGCCATCTCCAAATGGTCCAGGGAGGGATCTCGTGGTCTTGGGGCTGTCTTGGGGGCCACCGAGGGCTCTTATCGGCCGTAAGGGCGGAGCGACCGAAATGGCTGCAGGTCCCCCGTGTCACCCCCCACAGGCGGAGGGGAGGCCCCAGCGCGGCCGGAGCCCCGATGAAGGAAGGAGGAAGAGATCTGAGCAGGTCCCCCTGTCACCCCTAATCGGCCGTAGGGGGGAGCTCTTGAGGGCACCTCTGGGCCATCTCGGAGTGGTCCCGCATCGCTCTTGGGAGCTCCGTGGGAACTACGGTTGCCTCTTCCTGGGGCCGCTCCTAGGGGCTCCGTGGGAACTGTCAAAGTTTCTTGGCAAGCATCGGAGCCTTGTGGGCGACTCTGGGGCATCTCGGAATGTCGGGCTGGGCGAAAGGGGGGGGTAGCAAAGAGAGGGTTTGAGAATCAGCTCACGTAGCTGATTTTCGCGGCGCCTCCTGGCGCCGGGAGGCGCCCATGTATCGAGCACTGGGTCAGGCAGCGGGGCCGAAACCAGTTGCATGCAGCAGATTTCGTAACACCCCCTTTCCCTATCCCCCCCCTTTCGTTCGGCCCCAGCCTTGGGACCGCTCTTGGAAATACTCTGCCGGAGACTCTTGGGAGGCTGTGGGGCATCTCGGACTGGTCTGGGGCTTGCCCTGGGGGCCAGGGGCTTTCTCATGGGCGTTTGGGGTTCGCGAAACGGCGAAAGGCTGCCGTGGCTCGAGGCACTCTCCCTGTCAGCTCCTGAGGAACCATCGGAGTCTCTTGGAAGGCTCTGGGGCATGTGTAGAAGTGGTCCGTGGACGGTTCTTGGCCCATTGGGGGCTGCGAGAAGGGCGTCGTCTGGGCTCCCCTCGGCCCCTCCTCAAACCCACGTGGGGGAAGGCCCCAGTGGCAGCGTTCGCATGCAGTTTCACCCTCATTGCGGCACACCCCTCACGGGGTTCGTGGCCCCATGGGGAACTCCACCGAAGGCCCCAGTGGCAGCGTTCGCATGCAGTTCCACCCTCATTTCGGCGCACCCCTCACAACGTTCGTGGCCCCAAAGATAGCGCCACCGAAGGCCTCAGCGACAGCGTTCGCATGCAGTTCCGCCCTCATTTTGGCGCACCCCTCACACGGCTCGTGGCCCCATAAGGAGTTCCACCGAAGGCACCTGTGGCAGCGTTCGCATGCAGTTCCACCCTCATTGCGGCGCACCCCTCACAGGGCTCGTGGCCCCATAGGGAGCTCCACCGAAGGCCCTAGTGGCAGCGTTCGCATGCAGTTCCACCCTCATGTCGGCGCACCCACCACATGGTTCGTGGCCCCATAGGGAGCTCCACCGAAGACCCCAGTGGCAGCGTTCGAATGCACTCCCACCTTTCGGCGCGCCCCTCACAGGGTTCGTGGTTTCGTGGTCTTTTGGTAGGGAGCTCCACCGAAGGCCCCAGTGGCAGCGTTCGCATGCAGTTCCACCTTCACGTCGGCGCACCCCTCACAACGTTCGTGGCCCCATAGGGAGCG